AAGTGACAGCGTGCTTTTGATGGCAGGTGTCTTAAAGTCAGGGCTTAAAAGATGGGACAAAACCTGGAGAAGATTCACGAAGACCCGGCCGGAAACCGTGGTAGCCATAGAGACGCTATCGGAAGTTGGGGTTGCTAGGAGGCCTGGGCGCGTCCCCCAAACTGCGTCATGGCTGATGTCCCTGAAGGCTACTATTCCGATCCGTATGGCAATGAAGACCAGGATCCTGAGACTTCTGAACTGTCTGAGTCTCTTAAGGTGGCTGAAGATGCCCAACCAGAACCCACGGCAGAGACCGCAGACCCGGAGCTACACGTAGAGACAGAGAAGAAGCCACAGCAAAAGGCTCAGCCAGAGGTGGAAGCTGAGGACTCCAACGAGGAGGCGCCCGAGAGTGCGAAGGATGTGCACGCCCACCTAAAACCTGTAGAGCTGTCAGAAGAGATACCCGCGGAGTCAGAAGACCTTGTTGGAGAGATGCAACCCCTAGAGGTACATTTGGAGGGAATCGTAGAGCTGGGAGAAGAGCTTCACGGGGAGTTGGAGGTCTCTGTGAATGAAAACCATGAGCCAGATCCCGAGCTACCAAAGGAAACGGAGTCTGAGGTCCCAGGGGCCACAATCAGTGAGACAAGATTAGAGTTACAAGAGAACGTTCTGGAGGAATCAACTAGAGAGCAAGATGGAGAGATAGAGCTACAATCTATAAATTTGGCCAAACCCGAATTTCCAAGTGAGAAATCAAGAAACTCGATTAAAGAGGCAGATATACAGCTGCCAAAGATGACCACACTACAGGTTCCAGAGGTAACTCAAAGGAAGTCACATGAGGAGGAAAGGACAGAGCAAGCTGAGCAGGCCAAGCCAGAGTCTCCAGAGGACACACAAAGAAAATCAGCTCAAGAGATAGGAACAGAAACATCAGAGCAGACTAAATCAGAGTCTCCAGATCAGAAACCAAGTAAGTCTCCTGAGGAAACACCAACAAAGTCAACTGAGGAGAACGTTCCAGAGACACTAGAAGAGATCAAGTCAGAGTTTCCGGAGGAAAAATCAAAGCCACATGAAAAAAGAGACATTGAGCCATCAGAAAAGACCAAACCAGTTCAAGAGGAGACACAAAGAAAGTCAAGTGCAGAGAAAGTTCTAGAGCCACCAGAGGACTCTGAACAAGCACATCAAAAAGATAAGCAGAGAAAGTCAACTGAAGAGACAAGCATAGCACAACCACAGGAGTCCATGTCAGGGGAGACACTAAAAACGTCAGAATCAACTGAGAAAAGAAGTGAGGAGACTGAACCAGAGGTTCAAGAAAAGACACAAACAGAACTAACCAAAGAGAAAGATCTAGAGTTAACAGATAAAGACAGAGGACTATACAGTGAAGACACACATGTACACGTTGTCAAAGAATATGAGGCAGAATCGATCCAAAACAGTCAATCTACAGGGATTATGGCACCGTATGACTACTATCAGATGAGAAAGTTGCGTGAAAGAGTCAAAAAGCACTTCGTGTCAGAGTCTTTCACAGCCAGCGAACTTGACTCAACAAGTACTAACTACAGTTTTTATAAAAGTTTCCAAAATATATATGAGGATTTTGATGACAGTCATTCTGACTATTCCTCAGTCTATCAGAATTATTTGCAAGAGTCCACTAGTGTAAAGGGAAGTGTGGATTTATCCCCAGAACTGAAAGAACTGGTACCTAAAGGTAAAAAAAGACAGTCAAAAAGTAAAGTTACGCTGCAATTTGATTTTCTTTCATGGAGTCCAGAGAGAGTTGCGGAGTGGATTAGCGAGCTAGGCTTCCCTCAATACAAGGTATACAAAGATAACATTTTTTGTTATCATAGACCCTCAACCTTCTACCTCTTATTTCTTCTCTACCATGACCCCTCTGTTCACCTCTGCACTTGAAAGTATAGAAAAGTCCTGGACTATGTAGAGGAAACCAAGGATCTTGATCTTGGCCCCTTTCCACTGATGAATATGTATGTTTTGGGAGAAGAACATGCTTAGTTTTCAGGCCTCTTTTCATAGAAGGGTGTATTTTTTTTAAAGATTTATTTATTTATGCATACAGAACTGGGATACAGGCCAGAGGTGCAGGGGCGGTGAGAGGCTTCACCAGAGACAGAGTGGGGAGCAGAACAGGCCGACTGACGAAGTACACTGCTGAGGGGAGCAGCGGGCTGGTCAGGAGAGGTCTGCCGCACCGTGTGGGTCACCTCCGGGGTGGGAATCAAACTCACTCTGACGTGGCTTTAGCTTCTTAGGGCTGTGCTTTAACCCACTGCACCACCAGGGAAGACCCAAAGGGTGTATTTTTTTTAAAGATTTTTTTATTCACAGAATGGGGTACAGGCCAGAGATGCGGAGGGTGAGAGGATTCACCAGAGACAGAGTGGGGAGCAGAACAGGCAGACTGACGAAGTACACTGCTGAGGGGAGCAGCGGGCTGGTCAGGAGAGGTCTGCCGCACCGTGTGGGTCACCTCCGGGGTGGGAATCAAACTCACTCTGACGTGGCTTTAGCTTCTTAGGGCTGTGCTTTAACCCACTGCACCACCAGGGAAGACCCAAAGGGTGTATTTTTTTTAATAGATTTTACCCAAGGTAGACTTTTGGTACTTGGTGGCTGTTAGTTTGTTTTTTTTTTTTCCCAACTTAATTTTATAATCAATTTTTTTAACTTGATGGTTGTTTTAATGGCAGCTCCTTAACTTGTACTATTAATCTTAGTTTGTAACAATGATATAAGCATATGTATCACAAGTGTCTACTAGTACTAATTGAAATAGCCAATAAACACAAAGTTGTTTTAGGACCTCCCTGATGGCCTAGAGGTTAAGTCTCAGCGCTCTCACTGCTGTAGCCTGAGTTCCATGTCTGACCAGGGAGCTGACCCACATGGCACAGCAGACTCTCCTGTCCCGCTCCCCCCTGTCCCGCTCCCCCGCTCCCCTCAGCAGTGTATTTCAGTAGATCCACCTGTTCTGCTCCCCACTCTGTGGTGAATTGTCTCACCTCTCCCCCCCACCTCTGGCCTACACCCCGTTCTTGTATAATAAATAAATCTTTTTTAAAAAATAGTTTCATTAAAAATATAGGGTAAACCTCTTATGCCACGAATGCAAACTATATTCTTGGGCAACCACAAAACAATACAAGATCTGAAATCTTTTGTTGAGGCATAAATGTAGCACTGGTTGTAGCATTCTCAAAAAAAAAATTATGAAGCAATGTGAGATGTCAAGAGTTTACATTTTATGGACAATATGGTAGTGTTAGAATTATTAAAGTTAAATTTAAAACTAAATTAAAAATTTGTCTCACTATGGTCATGGCACACAGGTGATTTGGTAATGGGAAGCCCACGGGGATTACAACTGAGATGGAAAAAGGCACAAAATGATGTAAAAATAAACTATTATATTATTTTAAAAAAAAAACTGTCTCAGTATAGAACCAAAGATAAATGTGGTTTCTTCTCTCTTTGCCTCCCTTTGCCCTCCTGCTATATGCACTATTGAGTGACCCTCTCATTGTATTAACAGGAGTGTTTTACCACAAATTTCATCAGCGGCCAGAAACTCATCCATGTAAACTGCTCAAACCTCCCTCAAATGGGGATAACAGATTTTGAGGACATGAAGGTGAGTTGTGCATAAGTTTCCCCTTAAAGCATTATAACGATGCTACCATCTGCCTCAAGCCCACTAACTCCTATTTCTGTCAATGGTGTCATCAACTCCCAGTCCCCAGGCTCACAGGCATCTCTCTTTTGTGCCTCACAAAGATCTCAAGGACGGTCAGTACCCCTTGCAGTATCTGGTTTTCTCCATTCCTACTTGTTTGAACCTTTATCACTTCATACTAGAACATCTGGTAGCATCCTGTTTTAGGAGGGGGGGGTGGTTTGTTGTTTTTAAAGATTTATTTATTTGTGCATATAGAACTGGGGTACAGGCCAGAGGTGCAGGGGCAGTAAGAGGATTCACCAGAGACAGAGTAGGGGAGCAGAACAGGCAGATCGACAAAGTACACTGATGAGGGGAGTAGTGGGTGGGTCAGGAGAGATCTGCCCGCCATGTGGTCACCTCCCTGGCAGGGACTGAACTCATGCAGAAGTGGCTTTAGCCTCATAGTGCTGTGCTTTTACCCGCTGCGCAACCAGGGAGGGCCCCAGTAGTCTCCTGTTTTAACCTCTCCCCATTGTCTCTCTGGATTCAACAGCTCTACTTTTAGAATCTCATTTTCCAACTACTTATATACTACTCAGAAATCTTTCTCGAATCCCCTCTCCTTACAAGACAATCTCAGTTTCTTAGCTAGGATTCAAGACTTTCCACAAATGTTGTGGCCACCAGTCTTTCTCTCAATTCCCCTCATAAATCTGCACCCGCCTCCAGGCCTAACTCACACCCTTGGTAACCTGTCTTGGGCAGTCCCTCTGCATTTTTGCCCAGTACCCCTTGCTCTCCATGACTGATACCAATCTACATCATCTTTCAGTACCCAATCAATTCTCACCTTCTCCTGCAGTCTTTCTTGACCTTCCCAGCCCATTGCAACTTCTCCTTCCCAGCTCTTAAACAGGTTATGTCTCTGACAGCCATGGATATTTTTATAACATCATGTTTTGTCTGATTTGTTACCTAACTTTGAAACATTTCTACATTAACCTCCCTAGACTCAATCTCCTCAATTCTCTATGGCACCAGCAGCCCCTGCTGATGCTTCTCTGCATAAGTCCCCATCATGGACAGTGCTCACAGTTTGCAAAGCTTCCCATGTGCAATATCACTTGCAGATTATAATTTATAATCTCATTGAATACCTCTTCACCCAACATACCAGTGGTTTCATTCGTGCTCATAAATGGTCTGCTTCAGTGGTTCTCAAACTCAGTTTTCAGAATCAGATGAAGAATTTTAAAAATTCCTAGGGGCCCTCCCTGGTGGCACAAGGGGTTAAAGTACAGCACTGCGAAGAAGTCAGCACGTGTTCGATCCCAGCAAGGGAGGTGACCCACATGGCACAGCAGATCTCTCCTGTCTCCCCTGCTGCTCCCCTCAGCAGTGTACTTCATCCATCTGCCTGTTCTGCTCCTCACTCTGTCTCTGGTAAAGCCTCTCACTGTCCCTGCACCTGTGGTCTGTATCCCAGTTCTGTATGCATAAGTAAACAAACCTTTATAAATAGTAAAAATAAAAATTCCTAGACTCCACACTGCAGAGATTTTGATTCGTTCAGTCTAAGGGGAGCCCTGGAATTATTCCCTGGCACGACTCTAGATCAGGTTTTAGAACCCTATGACTCCACATGTCATATAACTTAGAAAATAAAAAGGTGATGCTGGCTAATACCTAAGCTCTTTTCCTGGCAATAGGGTATAAGGAAATCCTTTAAAGTAGTAAACACATCATCCTAAGTGAGCCTTTAATGCCTTGAACTCTGATAGCTCTCCTTTACTACACTTACTATTTGTTGCATACCATACATACACTATTTCATTTACTCCTCCTTTTGCCAAAAAGAAAAATGAAGCCCAGAAAGATAAAGCAACAAGGTCCTTCAGATCCTAAATTTAAAAGCCAGGAGTCATATCTATTCTGTGTGACATTCTTTCTTTAAGTTAATCCTCTTTAAATGAGCATTTTTGTAATCATGAATCACCATATACGTGGTGTGGAAAAGGACCACTTATTACACACTCCTGCTCCCAACCATGCCCTCCTGGAGCCACCAGGCCGTACCAGAGAAATAACTTGTTTTTATGCTCAAGGAGGATGTGGTTATGGTTACCAACTTTAATTTGTACTTGTGTTTATAGTGTCCTAAATTTTTAAATAAAAATAAGGAACATAACTAGAAAAACAGTAACTTGTAATCCAAATCCCTGAAATATTTAAGTGCCCAGAATTTCAGCTTTTATCCTGACAAAGCAATTTTAAGAGTCTACTAATTCACTTTACTTTCTTGACACTTTAATTCCAAAGTGCAACAATATGCATTATAATGTACAATAATAACAATTCAAGTCATGCTTTTTCTGGTCTTGCAAGAAACAAGAGGTCTTAAAAATCTTCAGAAATCCTCAAGAGTAAATGATGAACCCAGGGTCTATCCTTATAGCTGATGAAGTCTGAACAAGTAAACTTTAAAATATTTATCAAAGTCACCAGACAAATGTGACCACACCTTGAAGTTACTGGAGTCATAAGCAGATCATGACATTCAAAGGTATGTTAGATAAAGCTTTGCTGGACCCTTAGGTGAACATAAAAAAGCTAACTATAACACAGGTGCCATGAACTTAAGATGTCACATTTACCTTCCTTACTAGTAGGTTAAGCATTTTTTAATCCCACCACCGTAACTACAGTACCTATAGCACACCCATGCAGGTTCTCCTGCTAGCTCTTCCATATGGGCTTTCCTGGGCTTGGGAGAAATCAGGAGTAAGGCAAGAGCAGGGTGCTTCAGGGTGCAGAATTCTGCACGGGCTGATCAACTACTGAACCACATGTAGCCTTCACTTCCAAGCTCTGCAGTTAAGGTGTGGCCAGTTTCTATTCTTACTTTCCTTTAACTGCCTTCATTTTGCAGAGAATCCTGAGTCATGCCTCCCCTGCAGAAGTGACTCACCTTTCCCCTGGCCTTCCATGCTGACCTGATCAGAGCAGAGCTAAATGTGTCATGAGGCTGGTGAGGTGCGCCAGAAGAGCGAAGCACAAATTCTAAATTTTCACTGGCCAAGGAAACACTGGAAACCAGTCACCTGTCTCATAGAGTGATGCATTAGCTTCACAAAAGTTGATCTTTTTTATGCTAGAGACAAGCTAGACAAGATAACATTACACTTGCTTCAGGTTTCTCTCCTAGAAAATTCTTGAAGTATTTGTAACTATTCACTCCATCATGTGAACAAAAGAACTCCATGAAAGATACTCAGAGAACATTAATGAATATCTTATTCCATTTGTGTGCATTATTATATGTTATGAAATATAGCCCTGTAAGCCTTACAGTATCTCAGCAATGTTTTAAAAGATTTATTTATCTATGCATACAGAACTAGGGGTACAGGCCAGAGGTGTAGGGGTAGTGAGAGGATTCTCCAGAGACAGAGTGGGGAGCAGAACAGGCAGATGGATGAAATACACTGCTGAGGAGAGCAGCAGGCAGGTCAGGAGAGGTCTGCCATGCCATGTGGGTCAGTTCTGGGGCTGGCAGGGATCAAACATGCTGAAGTGGCTTTAGCTTCTCAGTGCTGTGCTTTAACCCGCTGTGCCACCAGGGAGGGTCTATCTCAGCAATTTTACTATACTTGTCTTGTTGCAAACTTTCAATAGCACAAATTCATAACAGAATGTCAGCAGCTGGTAGAGAAAAAAATGCTTGTAATTTTCAGGTAATTTTAGTTTCACCAAAGAGCTGCAAAGATAGTACAAAGTCCCCTCTGCTCTTACCCCACTCCTCCTATCAGCAGTTTCTTATACAAATGGTACATTTATCAAAATTAAGAAATTAACACGGGTACAGAACTATTAAACAAACCACATGCTATTCAGATTTCTGCAACTTTTCCATTGTTTCCTTTTTTCAGTCCCCATTATACAATAGGGGATCGCACTTTGCATTTAACCTGTTTTGTTTACTTTGGCTCCCGTTTCCCATGAACAGAATGAAGTTAAGTTGGTGGGAGACTGTCAGAGGTGATAGCTTTTCTCATCTCATCCTTTCAGGGAGAACATGACTGACCACAGGAGAGTCTGACCTTGACCAGTTGGTGAAGGTGGTGTCTGCCAGGCTCTTCACTATAAAGCCACTGTGTTTCCCTTTCCCTTTCTTTCTTAAAGATTTTTTTTATTGACATACATACAAGAGCTGGGGTGTAGGCCATAGATGTGGAAGTCTCACCAGAGACAGAGTGGGGAGTAGAACAGGAGGATCTACTGAAATACACTGCTAAGGGGTGCAGAGGGCGAGAAAGGAGAGGTTTGCTGAGCCATGTGGGTCAGCTCCCTCGTGGAGGATCGAACTTGTGCTGCAGTGACTGGGGATAGCTTGATGGCACTGAGACTTAACCCCTGCACCACCAGAGAGGCCCTCCTTTTCATTTTCTATTCATTTGAAGTGAGTTATGAAGACTAGCCCATACTTATCCACCACCTCTTGAAGCCAGGAAGATGGCACAGTTATGGAGGCATAGTAAAACTGCCGTAGCAATACATATATCATGGGAGATCGTTTGAAGCTATACAAATAACCTTTTTAAAATTTTGTCCACTTATTTTAGCATTCATCCATGGATCTTGCCTACAGCAGTTATATCAATATTGTTCTAATGATGATTTTCTTTCCCCCCTCATTTCTTTTTGAATTGAAACTCTCTTGAGGTATTCTTTGAGTTTTAATTGTCCCTTCTCTCCCATTCAGGAGCTCTTTCAAACCACTTCTTGTGTCCTTTGAACTTGCTTCCCTTACATACAGATTTTAGCACCTCTTTACTTTTTGGCAGCTACATTACTTCAGATTCAATTTGTAATTTCCTATAGCAGGTCTACAATCATCCTTTCTCCAAGGATCCCTCGTTGCTTTTATCAGAGAATGGTACTTAGAAACCAATATGTGAATGTATTGTGCTTATTACTACTGAGGTGTCATTGCTTCTTGATACTCTCACCAGAAAGATTTGGAAAACATATGTCTATACACCAACCCACATGTATACAAATATGTAGTTCATTCCTGTATCCCTGAGTTCACACTATGTCTCAGACTGTATCCCAGTGCCCGGGGGTCACTGTAGCCTCCCCTTACCCACCATTGCTTGTATAAATGTCTTCTCTGACAGTGAGAAAACTGGTTCTCTTTGTGTCCTCTTGGGAAGCAAATTTACCAAATACAGTGTAGTGTACTTGTGTACAAGTCCTGTATCTTTGGCCTTCCACTACCTAGACAAACAGTGGTTTTCAGAGTTAAGCTTATTTATATCAGCTCCTTTCTTCCCTACCCCTTTCAGTGAGTGTGTCTCCTACTTTGCAGTACAGTTAGCTTTATGGATCCACAGTCTATATTGCTGTCATGGGTTCCCCTGACATCTTGCCATGTCGTAAGGTATAAAAAATTACACACAGTAAAGTCATTCTTAGCAGTGTACAGTTCTGTGTACAACATCATGCATCTACCACCATAGAACTATACAAAATAATTGTACTCCGTTAACTTCCCCCATAATTCTATTCCCTGTGACTTCCCCCATGTCTCCCTTGTCTACCCAACTTTCCACCCTAGTCCCTGGCAACCACTCATTTGTTTTTTCTCCTCATAGTTTTACCTTTTCCAGAATGACCAATAAATGGAATCCAATAATATATAACCTTTGACTCTAGCTTCTTTTCCTTACATGAGGCATTTAAGATTAATTCATGTAAAATGAGTCAACAAGCACATTTTAAGGAGACTGTACATCTGTTTTAATAATGGTAGATAGAATGATCACATTTGAACCACAGCAATTAGTCTTTAGAATTAATGAAAGTAAATTATAGGTTCCAGATATATAGTGGCACATAGTTACAAACTAAACAGTACACACTACATTGGTAATGATGCAGCAAAACCATCAGTAGTTTACAAATAAGAGCAAGAACAAATAGAATGGAGAGTGCCAGAAAGGAGGGGGGTTGGAAGGTGAGCAAAAAGGGTGAAGGGGGTCAATTGGTATAAATTCCAGTTATAAAATAAATACGTCACAGGAATGTAATGGTGATTAGAGTCAGTAATACTGCAACATGTACTTGAAAGTTGCCAAGAGACTGAATCCTAAAAGTTAACTTTGTTTGATGGCAGAGTGTAATTATACTTAGTGTGGTGATCATTTTGCAATGTATACATATTCAAATCATTATGTTGTAATGTACCAATATAATGTGCCAATTATATCTCAGTATAAAAAAGCAAGAACAACAACCTTTGAAAACTATGATTGACATATGGTCCAGCAATAGTCTAGTAACAATAGAATCTTCTTGAAAACTACAGGTATCACAAATATCTGCTGGAGGCCATGTGAAGTAGGTGTTCTGGGTGATGCCACCATTGAGTGTGGGCCCCTATCCTAGAATGTGGAATTAAGTATCCTTAAAAAATGCTAATAATCTCCATAAATACCTACATTTATTAACCCTTGCTGCTGTTATTAAGTTGCTATAATTCTTAGGTACAGATAGTGTCAGTGGCTTGTTACTCATCAGAACTGAAGGACTAACTCATGGTTTTAGATTAATTTATAGCCCCAAGGATTCTCATGGTCCACTGATGAACCTCATATCCTCTTTAAGAATGACTGAATTTGAGGAGTGATGGTTAGAGTATATTTCCTGATTCCACAGACCTTTATAATGCTTTTAATTTCTGTATTAGAATATTAACAGGATTGAACTTTTTCACCCTATAGTCTTATAGCTCTTTTGGTTAACTGTGAATATGTTAATGATTACAAGGCCTCCTCTATGGGGACCACTGCAAACCTCAGAGAATCTGTGAAATAACCTCTTGTAATAGGGGCATTCAAAAGGAGGGTTGGGGTGAGGTGCTCAATGTAGCAGCATCAATTACAAATGAAGATTCTTCACCTGTAGTTGTTTTAGTTCTCAACTCTTAGAAATTCCAACTGCTGGGCCCACCCTGATGGTGCAAATAGTTAAAGCACAGCACTGAGAAGCTAGCCACAGCCACTGCAGTTCGAAACCCGCCAGGGAACTGACCCACATGGCATGGCAGATCTTTCCTGACCCGCCCACTGCTCCCCTCAGAAGTGTGCTTCGTCAGTCAGCCTGTTCTGCTCCCCACGCTGTCTCTGGTGAATCCTCTCACCGCCCCTGCACTTCTGGCCTGTACCAGAAGTGTGTTTGTGTATGCATAAATATCTTTAACAAAAAGAAATTCCAACTACTACAGACCTCATCAGTATTCCCACTGACAATGGCAGAGTCTTTTACCCACAAGCCCTCTCTAGAGCCTAAACAAAACCATTTTAAGCAAGATTTGAGAAGAAAGATATCTTACCTACCTAAAATGTATTGCTGCTGGGTCCTTTTGCTTCAGATTTAGAATTGTCTGTGGCATGAATTTTACATCTTTGTAACTATAACTAGGAATTTCAAATTTAAAAAGTTCATTCCACATACTCCATTGGCTGTGTGTTCTAGCAGCAGTTTCACAGGCTGCATTATCATCCAGATGCAGAATATGGATAAAAAGTATAATGGATAAAAAGTAGAATCTGAAAATAAAATGAGAGGTCAATCCAGAATATCAAGTGTATTGGTACTCAATGAATATAAGTCAATGTTTACAGATACTGAAAATTTTGGCTATTTAAAGATATTTTCATAGAATATACAAGTATAGATTTTAAGAAACCAGAGCTAGACCTTTAATGCCTGCTTCTTAGTGTTTGACTTTATTAAGTCAAGTGAATAGAATAACTATTTGAGGAATGATTTCCCCCCCACCCTTAGTTACAAATTAACTGAGCCCTTTATTTATCAACTGGGCCCAGTTATTTATTAATCTTCCCAGAGATAGTCATGGCTCCTAATCTGAACCTGTTATCTGCTTATATGGTTGGTCAGATTGCTCGGCTGAAAGAAAGAAATGAACTCACCAAGCCCAGCTGATGTAAGGACCTAAAAACATCTTTAAATCGTACTTTAGAAAGGATATCAAATCATGTGGCATTTCCTGTAAGAACTTTATTTCGATTAAACCAGGCTATGAAGCCTTTGCAAGTTACTTTATTATTTAATTTTCCATAGAAATAACTATGGAATTAGCATTCCTAGGGTCTAGGACACTAAGTAAAACATTTGATTTAATTGTATTTTCAGATCAGTCCCATTAAAAAATTATCCTTGCCTTTCAGGTAATTTCTCAGCATACACGGGAACTACTGGGAATTGAAGAACCGCTATTCAGTCGCTCCATCAGCCTTCCCTACAGGGACAATATCGGCTTATTTTTAGAGCAAAAAGGTCATAGTGGGGTAAAATCTGATTCTTTGACTTTTCCTGAATTTGTGGAAGCATCAGGGTTACAGGATTATGCACCCCAAATAACTGACCCTGAAGAGAATGAAACACACTGAACCATTTCACTGAATGTGAACGGTCAAACTAAATTACTCTGGGGAAGAAGTATATGTAGTCTTTTGGGGTTTTCTTTTTCTCCTTTTCATTAAGGATAAGTCAAACCTGCTAGACAGTTTCGTCACTGACTCACAGAACCTTTCATTTGTCTGAAACACAAAATTTCCCTGTTCCCTGCTTATTGGTTCTTTTGCTTGGTTGAACACCAGACAGGTTAAAAGAAGAAAACAAGTTTCCCTGAGTTCTATGGATCCCACAGTGATGTGAAATTCCCAATAGCAGTCAGGCAAAAAGAGGTAGGAGGAGGAGTTGGGTGTGTAGAGACCTGAGATTTCAAAGGGAAGGAAAACAACTCACAGGAAGATGGGAAGAACAAATGTTTGGTTAAAAAAATGCTGGACCAAACAGAAACAATGGCACACAAAAAGGAATTTTAACAGGCTTTGCTGGGTCCCTCCCTGCCCATGGGTCTAGTTCATGTTATCTTGACTTTATATGAGGGGTAGCCCCTTTCTGGAACACATGATCTACCGAAATTCTTTCTGGCAGCTAAGGGGAAGGTCAAAAGGTTCTTCCTGATTTCTTTGGCTTCTTGATCGTCTCCAGCTGAGAATTGTGTGCCAAAGTGGTACATCCAGGTGTTTCAATTTTACCCCTTGTCAAAGTTGGCAATACTGCTCTTTAGGGTAACGGTGTCACCCAACTCAAGAGGTTTGTCACTTTGATCAAAGTTTTGTTTTGTTTTGAGAAAAAGGAGCTTATTGCCTGTACAAGAAAGGGAAGCCAAAGGATTTAGATCCCACAGACTGTAGGCAACAGACCTGGGGGGGGGGGAGATTTTTTTTAAAAAATAGGATAGGGCCCACCCTGGTAGCGCCACACACAGCATCATGAAGCTCACCACAGCCATTTCACCGCAAGTTCAATCCCCGGCCACGGTGACCCACATGGCGCAGCAGACCTCTCCTGACCTGCTGCTGCTCCCCTCAGCAGTGTGTTTCAGTTGATCTGCCTGTTCTGTTCCCTGCTCTGCCTCTGGTGAATCCTCTCACCACTCCTGCACCTCTGGCCTGTACCCCGGTTCTGTATGCATACATAAATAAATCTTTAAAAAAAGAAGAAGAGCAAAACGGGACAAAGGAGGCTGCTGACTGGACAATGTGGTCGTCAGCTCATCGCGAGGGACAGTTACCGCCTCCGCTAACCGTGTGTACTGAGAAATGGCAACTCAGCTCACCCCCGAGGCATTAAATGAGGCTGGTGAGACTTTGAGGGCACAAAATGAAGAACTGTACATGCTAAGGTGTTTTCTCATGCTGCCAAGGCTGCTCGAACAGTTAGGGGTAAGTTGGAAATGCAACATGGTCTTTGTATCAACCACCTCCACCAACCACCTACCTGAAAGGCACCAATTAATCATCTCAGCCTTTTTCTTCCCCGAATTTTGAGATCCTGGAACTGTCTTACCCATTTGTTTCCTGGTTCTCTGAGGTCCTACTTCATTAACAATTCTAAGTGTCCGTAGGCATGCATCTGGTAGTGAGAATTTATGGAGAAATAAAAGTAAAATGTGTTCTCCCAGATAATCCTCTCCACAGATACAGGAAAAGAAACCATTTTAGAATTGAATCAGGACTGCATCAGTATTCAGTGCACATCACAAGCAGGAGTGCAGAGACCAGAAAGTCTCACCCTTTCCTACAGCCAGGCACATTCACATACATGTTACCTGAATCCAAAAAATAAAATTTCTCATATCTTTATGACAAATAGGAACTTAGTACTGGACTCGGGCACTGGGGCTCGGCTCCCACAGTCAGGGAGACCTAGGGCCACTCTCCTCTACACTTACTTACACACATTTCAGAGACAGGGGCCAAGGCCCAGGCAAGCCAGTATGGGATGTGAGACTGTCCCAGGCTTACTCAACTTTTGAAACAATTTACATACATCTCAAAAACAGAGACAGAGAAGATTTACAATTAGAAGTTTTGTAAAGGAACTGTTTCAAGAAAAAAGGAAGGGGATGTTCTCGTTCCCCTTCGGTATCAGAGAAATTATTTTTAATTTAGGTTATTTCTCTTTATAAACAACGTGGTTTGTAGAAACACCACGGACTGCAGGGTAGAGCCTGGGATTGCCTGCCAGGCCCTTTAGGTGGGTATTTTCCATACCTTTATACAATGGAACTTGGATCAGAGTCCATCTATGACTGAACTTCTTGAAAAAAATTACAAAATATTTGGTGTTGCTTGATGGCTCCAGTTTTAGTTTATGGGCATACCACTCTTCCCAGTCTCATTTCTTTATTCTTGAAACCACTGTAGGGCCACCATAATCCAGAGGGCCAATGGCATAGCCTGTCAAGTTCCTTAGACATGAACAAATAGTACAATAATCAGTATAAACCATTCTTTATGTGTGTGTGTGTGTGTATTCACATCATTCTCCATCTTTGTGCAACATGTGCTTGTATGCTTTCTCCTTTCAGGTGTGTTCCCCGTAAAACTCCCCCACCAACTCACCCATGAACCATCACCATAGTCCATTGTGCTCTTCCCTCCTTTGTTTTGATACCTCTACCTTCTCCTCCCTTGCAGAATATCTCTGATTTATATAAAGTTGCCCAATTTTATTTTCTTATTTATTGTTATTTTTTTCCTGATTCCTTATTTGGTTCCCCTATAGTCCTCCTATAAGTGAAACCATCCAATATTTTTTTTTTCTTTCTGGCTTAGTTTCACTGAGCATCATCCCTTCTAGCTTCATCCATGTTGCTGTGAATGACATGTGTTTACCTTTTTAACTGCTGAATAGTATTCCAGTGTGTATATATACCACACCTTCTTGATTCATTGTATATATACCACACCTTGATTCATTGTATATATACCACACCTTCTTGGTATATATTTGGGCATTTGCATGGTTTCCACATCTTACATATTGTAAATAATGATGCATTAAAAACAGGAGTACAGGTGTTCCTTTGAATTAATGTTTTTGTGTCCAAAGCAATCCATTCTTATCTTTTCTAAGAAGGAACAGTGCCTCAAATTAGTACTGAATTGTATTTTTGTGCTACATTTATCATACTAAATACTATAACACCATGTGACATTAAAATTTTTTAAACTGGGCCCTCCCTGGTGGCACAACAGGTTAAGCACAGCACTATGAAGCTAGCCATAGCCACTGCAGCACGAGTTTGATCCCCAGCCAGGGAGATGACCCACAGGGCGTAGCAGACCTGTCCTGTCTTGCATGCTGCTCCCGTCAGCAGCGTGTTTCAGTGATTCTGCATGTTCTGCTCTCCACTCTGTCTCTGGTAAATCCTCTTACCCCCCACATCCCTGGCCTGTACCCCAATTCTTATATGCATAAATAAATAAATCTTTAAAAAAAAATTTTTTAACTAAATTCCATGCTGACCTGTTGGAATTAGCACACCATGGTATGCTTCTGTATAATAAGCAATCATAGGCATTTATCAACTGTTGATGCAAATGTCAGTCCCTGGCCACATTTTATGTCTTAAGTTTCTGGAGTTCAAGCGTACCTGAATGTAAAAATTAATAGCGAACATTCATACTGTTAATAAAAATAATTAAATAAATAATAAAACTTCATACCAACTGATGATAAACCTAATTTTCTTCCCAAATTTGACTAGCAAATTTTTGTCTCAAATCATTTAATGTCATGCCACCTAGTTTGCCTGGTTCACAAATATTCAAAAAACAAATGTAAATGAGTAATCCAATACCATGATGATTTACATGGTTAGTGAATGATTTTGCTCAAAATGCACTTTAACATTTAGCAAACTGGTTCTGTTTGATGACAAAACAGGGTGACATTTTTCTCAACACAGTCACTGCTGTTATGCTCTTTTATAAAGATATAAAGGAAGTAAGTTTACACTGTTAGATCTAACTTGCAAAATTATTTGTTGCCAGATTTTTTAAAATAATATAATAGTTTATTTTTACATCATGTTGTGCCTTTTCCCATCTCAGTTGTAATCCCCGTGGGATTACAAACCACCCCTGTGCCATCACCATAGTCCTGTGCCCTTCCTCCCCCTGCATTTTTTATCTTATTCCCTACTCCACCCCTGTAAAATGTCTCTGGTATATAATTGTTCATTATTATTATCATTTTCCCCCCTGTTGCCAGATATTTTTTAAGTGGCTCAAATGGGAACAACTTTAAGATAATACCAGAACAGTCACACATATAGCTGAAATAAGCATTAAATGAGTCAATTCAATTGATATCATTTACTACTTTATTTCTCGAGCCAAAATGGTAGTAAAATGAAGCTGTAGCACTTGTCAACTACATACTGTTACAGGGAAAGACGCTACAGTATGTAATTGTCTAATAATGACATTTTAGCTTATTTAGCTTTTAAAAGAGAAATGAGTTTATATCAGCAGTTTTCCTGGGGAAGCAGCTTACTTAGTATGTTAGGTTATGTAGTTTCATTAGGTTGCTTCTAAAAGTCAAACCTCCCAATGATACCAGTGTAAAAGAGCTTTTGTTTTACTCAACATTTTAGAGGCAACCGAAGAATTATCTAATTCCTTAATACCAAACATCTGGCAAACACAATACAGTGACATGACCTCCATGCCAGCTGTGATAATGAGGAGACAGCCAACATAGAGCTAGTGTAAGAAGGTAAAACAGCCCTGACTCCTGCTGGTCTCTTATTGGGAGGTAGAGTCTGTGGAATCCACTGAGGAATGTCCTTTGTTTAGGGAGATGCCAAACGAATCACAGTAGAGGTAGGTGAGGTGGTCCTGCAGAGCAGTGCTGGCGGAGAGGCACTGGCTAAAGGGTGTTTCACTGAGCTGCACAGCAGTTAGATCGAAGCAGGGGAAAATCCTGGAATGAAAAACAGTGTGTTTGTGTCTGTTTGAAACATCTAATGCAGCTTTCAAGCTTCTTTCCTCCATTTGTAAATAAGGTTCCCCCCTTTTTTTTATATAACAAATTATTTAAAATTCATAGTTAAAATTTTACCTGGAACTATTCACTATGCACTGATATGATGAGCTGTCACATTTATGTGCCTCTCTAAGTGCATTCGGGGAGGAACTGATAATTACAGAATGATTATAATCATATCAGCAACCTTTTCAGTATCTTTTCCTTGAATTTGGAAAGAATACATAATGTATCGTGGGTAAAGATCTCATTTCCTTTATGATATGCTCTTAAAAATAGCAGCCGTCCTGACAGGGAACACCCAGGCCACCAAGATGTCAGTCGTACCATTGAAGGAGCAGAAACTCTTGGGTGTCAAAGGGGGGGGGGGCCTGCCACCTTAAATACTGATCCAGGATTTCACCCCTAAAGGCATTTCTCGAGGTCACAAAGAGGTTATTGCCATTACTGCAAGGAAACCAATGTGAAGAAAAAAAGCATGGCAACGGTTTCTATGGTGCTGGTGGCTTCTGGGCTCTTCTGTGGCTGCTGCTCTTAAGGGAAGTCAAGCACCGTGCGGCCATGCAGGTGTCACGGAAGAACCAGACTGGGGGGCTTCTGCCGAATTTCAGACAGTGACTTTCTTTGCCTGGTGCCTAATTCTTTTCCTACCCTAATTAAGAATTAACACCCAACTGGTTTGAAAATATAAACACAAAAAATAGCCACCTTTATTGTACAGGGAAAGAACTAGGAGTTAATATACAAATAAGAACAGGCAATCTTAAATATTAATCTGTAACAGAATACACGTTAAAAAGCGTTAAGATGTAGAGTGGTTATTGTGTTAAAAAGATCAGGAGAAAGGCAAGGATATTACTCAAAACAGTCCTGGCAGTTGCAGCCAGTGTGAGAGAGGAAATGAAAGGCACACAGATTGGACAGGAAGAAACAAAACTGTCTCTATTTATAGGTGGCATGGTTTGGTATGTAGAAAATCAAAGCACCTACCCAAAAAGCCTACAATAAGTGAGTTTGCAAGGTTATGGAACACAAAATAAGCCTATAGAAATCAATTGTATTTATACACATTAGCAATGAACTGTTGGACACCAAAATTAAAATTAAAATACAATACCATTTGCAGACTCAAAAAATAATATATAAGTGTAAATCTAATAAAACATGAATAGATTTAAATATGGAAAATAACAAAACATTGATTAAATAAAGAATAAATCATTGAAGAAACAAACTGTGTTCATGGGTTGGAAAATTCAACATAATAAAGATGACTATGCCCTACAAGTGGATCTATCTATCTATCTATCTATCTATCTATCTATCTATCTATCTATCTATCTATCTATCTATCTATCTAACTATCTACATATATATATATATAGTGGTAATGTGAAAATTAGTAATTTAACCCAGTGTTGCTCGGAGACATTGCTAGTGATGACGCAAAGCGGCACAGGCACTCTGAAACCACTACTGGCACTGTTTTCTTGTTTTCATTTGGGTAGAGTAAAACTAGGACTATTGAATTAGAATTAGTCAACTGATAGGAGGAAAGTCATTTGTTTTTATTAAGGAAATTTAAAAACAATGAAGTGAATCCCATGTGCCGATCACCAGGTTCAATAATTATCAATGTATGGCTAATCTCGATTCATCCCTAACCTCACCCCTGCCCTCTCTCACCATCTACTGGATTATTCTGAAGCACCTTCCAGACACTTGATCATTTAATTCGTAATTTTTTTAGTATAAATCTCTTAAAAAATGCTTTTTGAAAATACATGCCACCATAGCCAATTCGTTAATTTCATCAAATAGGCAACCTCATTTCTTCTTAGCATTTGGTTGCTTGAATAATGGCTAAAGCAAATTCTAGATAATGCATCTTGCTCAATGTGAATTTTAGGTCTTTTTTTTTTTTAACTTAAAAGTTCCCTTTGCTCTTTTTTCCCCTTTTGTAGCATATTTCTTAAAGAAATTGAGGTTTTTGTCCATAAAAGTTCCCATCTTCTGAGTTTTGATGCCTATATCTCATCATCTAGCATTTCGTGACTCTTGGAATTTCCTGTCAATAGGTAGTTTTATATACAGACTCGATCAAATTCAGGTTTGATTTTTGGGGCAAGATTATTTCATCAAGGTTTATTTTTGCCCAGAAACACAGCATCTCTGCGGTGCTAAGCCTGATGAGTAGCTTCAGTCTGACCTTTTCATTACAAAACCTCTCCTATCAGTGTCCCTCCTGATATTGCCTAGATTCATCATTTCATTATAGCTTGCAAATGATGACATTCTCTCACCCCTCCTTCATTTAAGAAGGAACTTTTCTACTTGATAAACACCCAACATAATGATTTAACACTAAAAAATATATCTTAAGGCAGTAAGGGGCAAGAACCGAAACATATCCCATATGGTGTATGCCTACTTCTCTGTTGGCTGTTCATCTTGGGATCCAGCTGCCAGGTCACAGCTACATGTTAGTGTAGCTTCAGCAGATAATGCCAAACCTGCTGTCAAGTATCCCACAACGTTCTCTAGTTTTAATCATTCTGATGGGTGTGACGTGAGCTCACATTTGACGAATAAAAGAGTTAGAAAAAGAAACTAGAGAAACAGAGGAATAGGAAATTATCAGACATAATTGGAAAACACTGGTGAACTTGACATCCAGATCGAAAGGACCCTAAATGTTCTTTCATTTATGGGTAGCAGCTCCATAGGAATTGGCTTTACAATAGTTCATTACACTGAATTAACAACACTTTTTCCCTATCAGATTATTGAAAATTAAAAAGCCACCCACTCATAGTTACCATCTATAGTGAATGGCATGCTCATGTGCTCCTGGTGTAGATTACATAAGCACCATGCTTTTGACAAGTAATTTGGGAATGCTATCTGTCACACATAAAATAGGTGTAACTGCTGACCCAGAAATTCTAGCTGTTTATCCACCAGAAATACTGGTACAAACTAAGTAAGAGAATGTTCAAAGCAATCCTTTCTGCAAAATTTGGAGCAAGGGGAGGGGGAACCATAATGTCATCCAGAGGAAACAGGATGAATACATTTAATTAAATGATTCCAACAGATGCCTCCGCTCTTGAGCATAAATGGAACAGGCTTGTAGCAACATAGAACAGTGTCCATGACATAGCATGTGAAAAAGCAGAGTATCTAGTCTCCACAGACATGGCCACACGATATGTCCACAAGATAGCAATAGCTATTCATACACATGATAATATCAGACTAGAAATAGATATTTGTAAATGCCTAGCTAAAAAGGCAAAACTATAAAAACCATTAGAGAGAGAGTCTGTGAAACGGAGTTCTGGTGGCAATGGAGGCCTTCATTTTTCCACTAGTTGGAATTTGTTTTACCAGCATGGTTAGTTTATCTAAATGTTAAGAGATAATAGACAACAGAGTGGGAGAACATATGCCTGACACCTTACCTTTTCTGAGGGAGGCTCTTTACATAGAATCTGCTGATAAAGTCCCGTATCTCAAATTGGGGGCAATTTGCTCCACCTTCCTCACAGTCTTCAGCATGCACTGAGAGGAAAAGCTCATTCAGGAGCTGTAGCACCTGCAACTGGGGCAGGCCCTTGGCCGTGCAGATATTCAGCAATGCATAGAACACCCCCTCTAACCACTTGATGTTGAGGACGATCCCCCCTAATGCCAAGGAGAAGGGAAATGCCAGTTAGCACCACCAAGACCAGCCTGCCGGGAACCTAGGGATCCCTCAGTGAACAGCTACTTTTCTGCATCAGGCTGATGGTGGGGATCTCAAGCTAAGCCAGTGCTGCTCCTGCCAAGTGCCCCATGTAACACATCAGGTGTTGTCCCTGCTGCAGGAGGACAGACAGGACTAAAAGAGAGACTGCTAATGGCAAAAGCATCTCCAGAAATCTCTAGAATGGCTCTTGCCAATAATAAGAAGGGACCAAGGGAAACTGCAGCATTAAAGCAGGGAAAAGCCAGTTTGTTCCCAGACACTGCAGCCTTCTCTCTGGGTGTGTCCAGTTCATCCTTACAGGGGCCTAATAATTGTACTTCTCAACTTTTCCTATTAAAGGCTGTTGTTTGCCTCCAAGACTGTTTCTACACAAAATCTAAACATCTGAGGATATAGTCCCTCCCCACGCCCCGGGTTTAAAATAATAGCAACAGGTTGGCAGTAAGGTCATCTTCAAAGCAGTGAGCTGTTACCAGCAGAGCTGTAGGGGCAGGTGGCCCGAAGAATTGTGGGGTCTTGGAGAGCAGATGTGATGTCCTTATTGGTTCCCCAGAAGTTGACAAAATCTGCAACACACTGATACTGAGGCCGCAAGATATTGGTGTGGTTCAGCAGGAGTTTCAACCTGGAAGCAAAGCCACCACGACAGGGAGTTTGGAGCAGACTAATCACGGGAGCCACAGAGTTCATACCCGAGCCCAGGATGGCTGCCAGCACGCTGCCCCCAGGCCAACAGGCACCGAGAACACTGCTTATGAGCTGGGTGGTCCAGCCATTCTTCTAACATTGAATGTGATCACGTGCCATGCGCTGGGCTAGACACAGGGTATAAAAATACTCTCTGATACGTATTCTCAGTCACTTTCCTGCTGCTCACTGGTGGTTTCCCTTCTCAACTAGCACAGGGACACTAGTTGCTTTAGGTAGCAGGAGGCATTGCTCTGTCTGTGCTAAACAATTGTCCACCAAAGAAAATGGCCCACCCTCAAGAGCAGCTGATGGCTAGATTGGTGAGTTACAATCAGGACGGGTCGTTCTGCAAAAGAAGCTGCTTCCACCTTATTACTGGAAACGACCAAGCCAAGAACCAGGGGCCTCTAGGGAAGCAAGAAGCCTGAGATGAGGAGACAGCAGATTCTGTGTTCACTCCGACACCAGTACCTGGGTATTGGAATGGCAGCTACGAAGCTGTACACGATGCAGACTTCCTCGAGGCTGGGCTGAATTTCTACGCAGATATGAGGCAGCTGAGATGGCAGGCAGCAGAGGAAGACCACGTTGGCCCAGCCGACCAGGTTGGAGTTATGGTAGAAACACTGGATTCCGAGTTTCTGGAACTCATCTAGGAGGAACAAAAGAAGTGTGGAAAAGCATAGAACAAAGGTGCTGACCTAAATATCAACTATGGGGAGAGGATGATAATGACTTTATTTCATTTTCTTTTTCACATCAGAAGGGAATGTGCCGGCATCGTGGCAAGGTGTAAGGGAGGCACATCTCATACAATGGCGTGAACACCCAGTCATCCTGCTTATGTCCAGGAACGGTTAATAATGATTTTATCTTGTCTTAGGACCACATAAATCAGAAGATTCCCTCATGCCTTGTGAAAGCCACACAGAAATGGCCAAACCTCATCCCAAAGCAGCCAGTGCCTCTGTAACCATACTAGAGATTATAATCTATTCCTAGCTTTACAAACCAAATACTAGAATTTTCCAGATTCTTTTTCTCTCTGAAAAAAAAAATCAGATGGAAAAGACTTCTGCTCTGATTTACTGAAGATTTATCAAGTGTTAGGTAATATACCAAGTACTTTTTTTTTTAAGATATATTTATTTATGCATACAGAACTGGGGTACAGGCCAGAGGTGCAGGGATGGTGAGAGGATTCACCACACACAGAGCGAGGAGCAGAACAGGCAGATAGATGAAGTACACTGTTGTGGGGAGCAGCGGATGAGACAGGAGAGGTCTGATGCACCATGTGGATCACCTCCGGGGCCTGGGATCCAACTCGCACTGAAGCAGCTGCAGCTAGCTTTGCAGTGCTGCACTTTAACCCGTTGCACCACCAGAGAGGGCCCAGAAGAAAGATTTTTTAAGGACTAAGTTAAAAAAAAAAATCATCTTTCTTACTTCCTTCCCAGCTAGCAGCCTGAGGCCAAGCATGCTGAACACCAGTATTCCTTTCAAGAGATGCTTTCAAAATGGCCTAGTCAACACCAGAAAAGCACACCCAAGGCCCCTCCTCCCAGGAGACTTACCCAGGGTCTCTGGCCTCCGCGTGGAGATCCGAAGGCTCTCAGCCGGGATGGGGACAAGCTGAAGCAGTGTCAGAGCCAGCTGCTTCCCAAGGTGGCCGCCTCCAATAATGCCCACCTTGAGCTCATCAGAAGCAACGGTGGTTTCGTCTAGCGATTCCCCTGAGTTGGTCAGTTTCTCAGGTAATGTGTCTCTGCCAGATGGACACACAGAAACACATGTAAGCATGCACACACCTGTGGCATTCTTGACTCTCAACCTCTGAAGTTTGCTATTTTAATTTCCCCTCATGGCACCCTGAGTTCTCCAAGGATAAGCATTCCAATTCATACCACTAGGGAATGAAATATTCCTCCTGTGTGAATTTTCCAGAAAGTAAAATGTATCCCTTTATGGGACCGAAACTTGCTTAAAATATTTGAAAATAACAGTTTGGGTTGCTGTATTGTAATTCTCTGCCTTCTTGAACACAAGATGTGACCATTCCTGTGGCTCGGCACCCCGGTGTGAGTGGCCACTGTCCCGTGTCATCCAGAGCTGTGGTCAGGTCCTTGTTTCCTGGGCACAGACCTGGGAAACCAACTAACTTAGGTTCTCTCAAATGTTGTGACTTCTAAAAATAAGGGCAAACAGATCTTAGAAATTGAGGGTCAAGAATTTGAGGCCATTCTTTTCCGAAATTAACTTACTAGTTCAGGAATTACTTCCTTGGCCAAAGATGGACAAAGTTGGAGCTTTGGATCCATAAGGCACTATTTTATGGTGTTATATGACAATCACACATTCTGTTTCTTTTAAATTTTTATTCTATTTTTTTTTTATGTAAGAATTGGAATCTTCACATGCTGGAGTTTCCATAAAGCATCACAAGCCACATTCTTTTTTTTTTTCTTTTTTTTTTTAAAGATTTATTTATTTGTGCATACAGAACTGGGGTACAGGCCAGAGGCTCAGGGGCAGTGAGAGGCTTCACCAGAGACAAGAGTGGGGAGCAGGTCAGATCAATGAAGTGCACTGCTGAGGGAGGCAGTGGGCGGGTCAGGAGAGGTCTGCCACACCATGTGGTCACCTCCGGGGCAGACGGGAATCGAACTCATGCGGAAAGGCTTTAGATTCTCAGTGCTGTGCTTTAACCCGCTGAGCCACCAGGGAGGGCCGCCACATTCTTTTTAAGACTTCTCTCTTTGCTGAGAGGAGTGTTTTCTCAGTGCCTGACCCTTCCAAATATAAAATGCTGGAAGTTCATATACTGACTTCTCACCATTCATCTTAGATACGAGTACGTTTATACATCCCTATCGGTAAGCCTATCAGCAGACTCACTGAGCCGCCTGCCTCCTGGGTCCCTGCTGTTTATCTGTAACATGCTCCATTTGGATTTGGTCCTGCCATCCAGGAGTTGATCTAATTTCAGCGAAAAGCAAGAAGTAGACTCGTAGGAATGGGGAGGGGAGATGCTTCAGCAGTGACCTAGAATTCTAGAGTCCAGGAGCCCAGTCCTGAGAACTGAGCTCTGTGTGAAGTCATGTTGCACAAAGATATAGACTGGACTGAGAGCTTCTGAGCAAATCCATATTGCTGGTTTTAGGCAAGTCATCTGACCACAGGCCCCCAATGGCCAGGTGGCTTTCTCGTGAGGGAGCATTCCACTGTTAGCTCACCCTCAAATGAAAGAGGCAGCCCCATTTTCAGCCAATATCCACAAACTGGCTAGTCATTAGTAGCTGCAGAAGACAAGCTGGTGAATGAATGGGTCCTTTAAACAATCCACCCAGTGAAAGCACTAACCCACCAGCACTAACCCATACTGTGTTATGTAACCACAGTCAGCGGACCCTGGTATGCATCTCCCTGGTGCTTTTTCAGAGAGGAATTAGACTACAGGCTAGAAAAGGTAGGAAGATACTGCCTCTGCCAAATTTATCTTCCAGAATGAAATGCTTAAATATTCTCCACAGACTCTTCTCTACCTGCTTGACCCTGGAGACCTTGCTTACCTCAATTTATGGAGCAGCTTACAGAAGAAGGTTGCATGGGCACAAGCCTTGATCACCAGTCCCCGATAACGACCCTGCAGGTACAGCCAGCTGAAGTCTTCCTCTTGAATCCCATATTCAAACTTGAGGGACTCAAGGTCCTCTAGCAAGTCCATTTCCAGGCCACCATTTCCTGCAGGGATAGATACCAGTCAATTTGGCTCCCAGTTCTGGAAGCAGAGGGTGTCTCTGCAGGAGGCTGCCAAGTCACAGGTTCTCGTGATGATGGGCCTTGGTCCTTCAGTTCCAGCTTCTGCACAGCGACTCTCATCCACTTCTGTTTGACTGCGAGTCCTAAGCACTGACCATGAACAAGGAATACCTGGGTTCGTGGAAAACCTGAGCCAAAGTCCAAAGTGATGTTCTCCCACATAGATATGCCGCTTCTTCCTGTAGATACACGTACATTAGCAATGAGGTTCACAGAACTCTAGGGCCAGGAACTGTTCCCCTCCATTTCCTGTTAGGTTTTAAAATTAAGACTGAATACTTCGACTGTATTTCAAAGAAATTCTTCCCTTTCACTAAACTAAGTAGCATGGTCCTATTGAAATTATCTTTTAAAGATTTGGTGGTAATTGCCCTGTAAAAACATCACAGCTTGCTTGCTTGGTTAGGTTGTATTTGGTGGTGGGGGGGGACAGGGGTATATAAAAGGAGGCATGGGTAACTGGAAATATTCTCCATTTCTTCTTGGAAAAGTATGTTTATGTTCAATACTTCCTGTAATTACTGCAACTAATATTTTCAATTTACTTGTAAAATACTGAACAGTCAAAAAATAGTCCCCTGGAAAATATAAATATCGCAGTATTGTTTAGGATAGGGACTACATTTTAGAAAATGAGGTCAGAGATGTGTAATCCATCTGCATGTATCGCTCACCAGTCAAACTGAGGACGTGGCTGTACTCAGTCCTTCCACTTCTGGCCCCAGAGAACTACATTTTCAGAGAGAAGTCTCCAAGAAAGTCGTCATTATGACTCCGTAGCTACACGGTTGCTTCAGTCTGAGTCTTAAAGGGGCCAGCCCACTGACAGGGTTTCCCAGTTTGCAATGTGTGGACATGTATTCCTCTCATCAAGATAGTATGGGTACCTCCCTTTCCCTAAAAGAAGGTTCTGGACTTTTTTTTTGGCAGCCTCAAAGATACAGATCTTAGCAGTGCTCAAGAATTATTTTTCAAATCTCCTCTTCTTTACGTTCAGGAAATTAATGAGTAAGGTAAGGTAGGGATCTCAAGGTAGCATGGCAACTAAAGTTATTAATACTGTACACTGGAAATCTGCAGGAAATTGGACTAGGTCTGAAGCATTCTCACACACACCAAAGGCAACTATGAGAGATGATGGATGTGTGAATTAACTTGATTGTGATATAATCATTTCCCAATATCAAATTGTCACAATGTATATTTTAATTAATTATATCTCAGTAAAGCTGGAAAAAAGAAATCAAAGATATTTAAAACTACTTTATAGCAAAGACAAGTGATATTTTAAACTACTTATCTCTAATCCTCTTTTTAAATGGTTTATTGAGGTGAAATGTATATAAACATAGCCACTTTAGTCAACAACTCAGTACCTTCAGGAAACCACTATCTCCCCAGCTCTAAGACATTTCACCCCAGGATGTCACTCAGCCCCTCGATCAACCTCTTGTAGCCACCAATCTGCTTTTTATATCTAAAGATCAACTTTTTCTGGTTCTTTCATTCAGGTGGACTCTGACAACAGATGGTCTGTCATGTCCATTTCCCTAGCCCCTTTTAGAGTTGTCACATCCTAAATTGCTTTAGAAAGCAGTCTCCAGAACTTCAAGCAAGATGCACCGAAGATCTCAAGTCTAAGAAACACCAAACAGTGGAGAGGTCCTCCAAATGTTGCACGTGACTGTTTCTGATGATGCAGGAAAGAGAAGCTCAAGACCTCTCAGCTCAGTGGCCAATGCAGCACAGGTTAGCTTTTACAAATGTGGATTCTAGGCCTTTTATCTGTGCACCCTCAAAATAGGGACCCTGTGGCTGTGGCGTTTTAATAGTAACGTGGCTGGGCTGGGCTGTTTTCTGGCGTTCCCTTTCCTGTATGTTCACTAGGGCAATTTTTGTGCAAGATCTGAAGGCTGGATGTGAAGCCAGCAGCTAGTTCACATTTATGCCGGCAAGGTTGGGGCAGCATTTGGTTAGCTGCTGGTGACCCTGTCAGTGTGAGGCAGCAGTTGGGGCTGACCTGCACCCTCCCACCAACCCTTCCGGGCATGCCCCATCAAGGCTGGAGGCAGTGAGAGCTGACATGGCCCTAACCCAATTCCATGAGCCCCAAGTTGTCCTTGCTCTCCTTCACCTCATACCCATCTTCCATGCCCTTGCCTGCCCTATGGATTCCCAGTTCCCCCCGCCCCAGACATGAAGACAACCTTCCCGAGACTGCTTGGCCAACTGCCACACTAGACTCAGCTCTAGTCGCTATATGAATCCATCATATAGATGGACAGATGGGCAAGCTGGACAGAACATACTCCCTGTGACGTGCTTCTCTGTATGAAAGCTAAGAGATAAACTAGTTAGTGAAGTTCATGGTTTGTTTGAAAATCAGCCAATTACCAGTTTATCAAATTGGTCTGTTACCAATTTGGACTGTTATCTTCAACAGCAAGAGGGACGATCTTGGAAAGAACCAATAGGAGGTTACTTGGACTATGGTAAATAGGTGCCACGTGTCAGCAAGAGTTGGGGTCCTCTGCCCTTAGTGCAGGCTTCTCAGTATCAGCATCACTGACATTCCCTGTGATGTCTGTGGGTGAGCATCCTGGCCATTTCAGGACGTCTAGCCGGGTACTTGCCTTCATCCAGCTGCAGTAGCAAGCATCTCCAGACATTGATCCACGGTTTCTGAGAGCAAAGTTGCCCTCAGTTGAGAGCCAGATTGCCTTAAAGCGTGCTGAGTGCCTCTGAACAAGCATATTTTCTTCCTTTTACTGTCAGGCCCCACAGTCACAGGGCATTAACCTCTCTGCCTGCTCTGTATCATGCCCCCTACTCCAAATTACGACAGTGAGTTCAGAAAGGAACTCACCTAGCGTCGTACAGCTTGTGGGTGGTAGAGCTGGCAACAGAACAGATCTTTTCTCCTCCCAGCTCAGTGCTCCTGTTAACCAACATGGCTCTGCTGTCCCAGAAGCATCGCTATGCTCTACCTGATCTGTGCTGTGCTGAATGCACCCGTGAGGCAGGTTTGTAGTGGTACCAGTGGACAAGGTAAGTTGTTCACAGTTTTGCACACAAAGCATCCAGGAGGGAAAGAGAAGGCACCAAGAAAGAAACAGCTTTATTAGAAGTCCAGGCATGTCTAGGAAACCAGTCACAGAGAAGAGAGGCTAACACTGGTGCAGGGCAGAAATCCAACATTACAGAATATCCTCTTGGAAACCAAATGTGAAGCTAAAATCTGCATCTTAGTCCCACCAGTCAGAAATGCTGCTGAGCGTTGTCCTGGGGAAACTCTGGAAGGGCCTAGTAAAATAAAAAGATTTGTGCATAAAGGGAGAGCTCTCCAGCACTGCTCAATCTGAGCTCCACATACGATAATGATCAGGTGGGAGGAGAAGGAAAGGTAAAGGGCATGTTCTCGTCACCCACACAAGCCATCTCGATGTGCAGGTAAGGGACGAGCCACAGGTTTCTGGACAGACAGCAGACTGGACAGCAGAGGGGTACTGACTGAGAAACACAACATCTGGGCAACCTCTGCCGTGACAGGGAGGGCTCCGTGCAGTCTGGGGTGAGGAGGCCTGCTGCAGGTCCGGCCACACTGGCATCCTTTCCAAGACCTCTTTGGGTTCTGTTCTGACTTCCTTCAGAGCAGAACTGCCGGTGTCCAGCACCAAGTCCAGGGCCATCATTAACTGAGAAGCATGGAGCGGCCTCCCTATGACACCTCTGAGTCTGGGAGACTTCGTTGCTGAAGCAGTCACTTTTCCAACCAAGAGCGACCTTGCCCGGTGTGGGCCCAAGCTAGAAATCACTCCCACCTTCTCATGAGCACCAGGTGGACAGAATCTTTCTCATGAGGCACCTTGGCCTGAAGATGAGGGCTCTTGGGGAGATCAGTCTGAAGCTGTCTGTGCCCAAGCACTGGTTTCTGTGCCACGAGCAGCGGCACTCCGGCTGTGACCGGCCTCAGTGGTGTGATGCTGGGACTCCCCAAAAGAGCTCTCTCTCACACACAGGCAGGAAAGGAAGAGATGAGGCAGGTTTCAGGGTAGCTAATGCCACTTAATTCTTCCATCGAATTTGCTGTGGAAAGAACAAACAATGATCAGTTTTCACTGATCTCTATAGAGAGGTCGAGGGAATGCAATTAAAAAAGGCTCACAGTGGGGTGGAGTGGGGAATGGGATCAAAAACGGGGGGAGGGGGGTGGGGAGGGAAATGCACGGGATTATGGTGATGGCACATGGGTGACTTGGTGATGGGAAACCCGTGGGGATTACAATTGAGATGGAAAAAAAAATATGTACAAAATGATGTAAAAATAAACTTTTGTAAAATAAAAAAAAAAAATCTATATATTCATCATCAGCTCCAGGTTTCAATGCCACTGTATTTTCCAATTCTAAAGTTGCATAAAAGAAAACAAAATCCTCACTATGTCATTAATATTTGTAAAGTCTATATAATTTCATTCTGTTGTATTTTATACCATCCCAAACTAAAGCCAAATTCTGGGAACAAAGCAATCAGGAAGATGAATGTTTGGGGTACCTACCTAACTTGAAAGAAATCACTGAACTATTTTACTTTCTGTATGTATGTATATATCCCTAACCAAAATAGATAATGTAACCAATGTCTATTGAAGTTAATATTCCACAGTCTTTGTACCTATGTCAGTGACCTACTGGAAAAACTTTTTAAATAAAAACCTGTTTTAAATTTCAAAAAAAAAAAAAGCTAGAAGACGTAAGGAAAAGAAGAACGGAGGCGGAGACTGAACAATTTTTATAATAAGAGGGATAGTTCAGATATGGATTAAACACCTACTCTGTGTCCCACAGGTGATTTAGGACATTTATTCTGGTTCTGCCTTCCTCAGGACCAAGAATTACTAATTTCAGATAACCCCAGAGTAGGTCTCAAGATCTATCAGGGAACTGAGCTCCACAGCAGGAAAATGGTCAGCAATTTCATGTTATGAGAGATGCACTGGGTACCTTAAAAAGCTAAAATCTATTTCACCCACTTCTGATTTCCAACAAGTATGTCATATGCACCCCCAGGACACCAGACAGCCCAGATATTCTGAACCCTGCTAGGCTTAACAACCACCAGAGACTTACAGTTAAGTCTCAGTCTGAGGTCCCCAGATTACTCTTATACTTTCTGCTGTTCACAGCAGTGCTTTTGACCTTCAGGCCCATGAGAGATCCTGTTTTCATGTGGCTCAGCTGACTGCCATCCGGCCTTGAGAATATATACGTTTGCTGAGACTCTGTGAACCATCCACCGCCCAAGGCTGCTGGAAGGGTAACCTGCAGCTGCTCACCGTGCTGTTGAGAATGGCATCGATCTTCTCCTCCTCTGGAGACCCTTTATCCACCTTACTCCTGTATGCCAGCAACTGCTGACGATCCTTCAGGTCCCGGCAGGTCTGTGTACCAAAGGAGAAAAGCAATACAAACTCCTAAGCAGCTTCCTCTGTGAGGACCCTTTGCTTTCTGTCACTGTCCTTTTGTCAGGTGAACATGATAATCACTACACTACAGAAACACTCCCTATCATTTTTTTTAAGATTTATTTTTTTATGCATAGAAGAACGGGGCTGTAGGTCAGAGGTGTGGACAGGCAAGAGGATTAACCAGAGACAGAGTGGAGAGTAAAACAGGAGGATCGACTGAAATACATTGCTGAGGGGAGCAGCGGGCGGGTCAGGAGAGGTCTGCCGCGCCATGTGGGTCAGCTCCCTGGCTACAGTGACTACAGATAGCTTCATAGTGCTGAAACTTAATCCTCTGCCACCAGGGAGGGCCTTTCCCTGTCATTCTGAGCCAAGGTTCAACAAGGGGCTGGGAGACTTCAGTGGGATGACAGTGGGATCAAATTCAATAGAACTTCATGTTGGAAAGACTACAGAGGTAACGTAATTTGACTTAGTTCTATGAATGCAAATGCAACAAATTTATGAAAACACAGAGGAACCAATCAGAGACCTGGGAAATAATACAGTGTGCTGGTCTTCTGACTAACTCTTGCCAGACCATTTTATCCACAAAGTCAAAACTGATGGAAATATCTCAGGATACAGGACAGAGAGTACTGTGATTCTCCCACCCTCCACTATCATCTAAAGCAGGTTCTTATTCTTGGGGGACTCACATCAATGACAACATCATGGCACTTGAACTTGGTAGCTAAGTTCAGCTTTGTGTCCACATCTTCCACCAGATTAACGTATTCCTGTAATACCTACAAAGAGAGATACTTTCAATTAAATAATGTCAGACCCACAGAACAAAGAGCTCTAAAAGGTAGGGGGGGGGGGCGGAATCCTGAAGAAGACAAAAGAGCCTGTCTACAATATCTGAAATCTCTAACTCCCATCATCAACTACAGGAGTAGTTCTGCAGTGGGAAATGAGGTAAACGCTCCACAGTTCTTTACGTTCCCCAGTAAAGAGCAAACACATGTCTGTATATCCACGCACTAGACACGTATGCCAGCAACAGGCTTGCGATGGGCCTGACCCTGTGCCCACTGCTCCTCGGCATCCTTTCTCAGTGAGTGCTCCTTTTGCATCACCAGAACAGTAAGTCAGTACTCTTCACAGAGAGGGCATCTGTAATTACTTCTAAATGGCAGGAGAGCTTCCCTCCTCGGCCTCTTCTATCTCAAGGACCAACACAAGGTATTATGTTGCTTTTAGCCTGAACAGGTTAGTTCCCAGTCTCTGACTAGTAATAGGCAAAGGAAAGATGTGCCAGAAGATTCTACACCCAATTCTCTTTATGAGCTATTACCTGGACAGGGGCACTATTCTTGTGCAAAATTTCCACAACGCGATGGAAGCCAATGGGCGCTCTCTTCTTGGTGTAGCCCAGCCAGTTCTGAAAGAAAGGCGGGGCAGCAGCGGCTAGGCCACACACGCTGTGTGCTCTGACCCAGTTTCCCCACATTTATGGTCAGACCAGAATAATATGGTGGTGACAGACAGAGGAGTGGGACTTAGGGGTAGGTAAGTGGAGAGATGAGTTTTTCAGCCATGTCAAGGAACTCGAGTGGTTAGAAAAAAGTAAAGACAAGGAAATTCAGAGAGTGCAAAGGATGCAGAGGTATGAGGCAATTTCAAATGCAGAACAAAAGCTGTAAAATGAAACAGTATTTGTTGTAATATTATTACAAATCTTATGTGGATAGAAAAATCGTACCCCCTACATCATCATTTATATTGTTATAATGATGTGTATTTGTAAACACATGAGGTAAGGTCTGGAAAGCTATTCATCAAATTTTTAACAGAGCTTAACAGTGTTCCTTGAGGAATGGAGTGAAGTAGGAATGGGTGGACAATGACAGCGGAACTTACAAAGAAGAAAAACAAAATTCTCAAACCTCTGATGGAAAAAATGAGTATTTAAAATGCAAACCAGTAGAGGCATGATTATTAAATACTCTGCAAAATCCCTGATGGGGAACTGACAGCAAACAAAAAACAGCCAGTTCTAAATATGATAATTTACAGTTCTATATATGATAATGCTATATTTATCTTAGATTCTTGAGAGTGATTACAGTATTGTGATTGCAAAGGAGAATGATTAAGTATTTAAGGGAGAATTATAAAATGTCTGTAACTTACTTTTAAATGGTTCCACAAAAAGAAAATGGTATATGCTTTCTCTTTCTCAAAATGTTACTACTCAGTGAATAAAGACTATCAGACTTCGTTACCTGTTCTTTCACCTTTTTCTTAAGGCTATAAATTTTGGAAAATAGAGGGTTGGAGGAATAAATGTGAACCCATAACTGGAACCCGAGACTCCTAAGAAGCACAGGGTAACAAGGTGATCTCGCCAAGGTCAGTTCCGGGGTGCCCACCTTTGTGGTGAAGAGGGCATCGACATCATGCCAGGCACGAAGCTTAGCCCGCGCAGCCAGCGCTGTCAGCACATACTGTTTGTCTGGGATCTGGAAAGCAGAAACCAGGGAGAATTAAGAGGAATTAAAAGTGCACCAGGGGAAGTACTTGAAAATACAGGTAAAATACTGCCTGCTATTGATTCTGTCCTTAAACTCAATAGATCTCTCAGTTCTCAATGGCCCCTGTGTCCCCAACCTCCTACTGCAAGTTACTCATTGAAAGCCTTTTCTCACTTCCCACAAACGATTTTCTTTCTATCTTTAACCTTGGCTATCAAGGGCTACACTAACCCTGACTGGGTAGTTACAAAGCAACACCTACTCCATGAGTTACTCTGATAGCACTTTTATCAAAACATTGATCAATTTATATCTACCTTAAATGTTTTCTTCAAGTTGACTGGACTGCTGAATGTCCCCTAGGGTGAAAGTAGAGAAGGAATTTTAGTGTTACTGACTTTTCTGAATATCATCCAATCTCCTAATTTCTTTTCCACTACCTACATGTCACTCTGAAAATCATGTTTACCTGGAAGTTATTTTAAGAGAAGAGCTCCATCAGCTCTAAGTGGATAGCACCATAATGTAGCTTTACAGGGCTGGATTAAAAGTAGGGTGTATTTCCTAGTTTCATTCTAATCCCATGATCATGTCCACCTATGATCATTAAATCAAACCTCTTCTAAAATTTATTTTTTGAAGGCCCCACAGTTACCTGACACCCTGCAGCTCTTCTGCTCTATACTGTACCAATCTATTTGAAGCTATGGACATGTGGCAAGAGACAGCTATGCTATTCGCACACCAGCTCACTGGAAGCCACATCAACCCTTACAACCTCTTTTCCCCTCTTCACACCTGATGCTGAGAGCCAGAAAAGCTTCCAGGTGAATTTCTGAGACAACATGTACATACAGTTCAGAAAGTGCATCAAACTACTGGCCTAGAACTATGCTCCTCTTGTGCAGTCACAGTGTGTGGGGTCACACACAGTGTGTGTGCCTGTACCTCAGCCTCTGTGTAGTGGTAGAAGCAGGAGTAGAAAAGTGTTGTCACGAGTGGCATGTTGAGGATGGAAGCTTTACGGGGATACTTCCGGAAGATCTCAGTCTGTCCCGCTGACTCCAAATGACGGTCATTTGCCTGTGGTGGAATGAATTGAGAGGAAAAAAAAGGCAAACCTATAATACTGTAACAGTTGTTTCTCCTACCACAGGAAAAATAAAAGAAGAGACAAAGAAGCCAACTGAGATAATCCAGGGAAGTTTAAAAATATATATATAACTGATGATGGATCCACACTGGATAAAGGAAGGCCAGGGTAGTGGTGATGAAATGGGAGTTCTGGGGTAAAAATGCAATCTGAGAACAATGGCAGTTAGGGAGCTACTACGCCAAGAGAGGAAATGAAGGGTCTTACAGACAGTGTCAGGAAATGACTTATATGGGGAGCGCATCGAGGTGTCCTAGATGCTGACGTGCACTGAGCAGAGAATGCAGAAATGAGGAGTCTAACCTCAATAATGATCTGACGTTCCAGGAGCGTGTAATGGTCTTGTATGTGTGCACAATCCTCTGCTGAAAATGGCAAACTGGTAGAGGGCCAAAAGGTTATTACTTCTCTACTCAAACAAAGCAAACCCAGCTAAACCACATCACCACTGTACGTGTAAGAGGCTCATGGTGCTTCACAAATCTGACCTCAATATACCTCTAGAGCATCCCTGAAAGGCAGAGAGAGAGAAGGCAGGCAATGATGTTTTCAGTTGGGATTTCATGTTTAAGGTTTTTCCAATAAAAGACGGATCCCCAAAAGCCACAAAATACAGTGATTCTGCTGAGGAGTGAATCAGACCCTCTCCATGGCATCTTTGATGAGTGACTCACACTAGTGAGTAAGCCTGGCCAACTGCCCACCACACACATCCAGGGAAGCTCTGTGGGTCACATCACTGCATGCAGATGCTTGACACGCCGCAGAGGCACTTCCATTTATAAGCCATTCTTTCACTGCAAAGTACTAAATCTACATGGCACAGTGGTGCATTTGTAGGCTGGTAAAGAACTCAAGGATCTACACAAAGGTCAAGAACCCCACTTTCAATACTCATCATATTTTTACATGTGAAGAAGCTGAGGGACAGTGAGTTGCCTAAAAGTCATAGGTATCTATTGACAAATGGGGGAAAGACAGGAAGTGAAGTCTGATTTTTAACTCCCAGTTTATAGATCTATCCTGTATAAAATGCTGCCTTATTTGCCCACTCCTTGCACTTCAGGAAGAATTCTGAAATTTAATTACACTATCCCAGGTAGCTGTGAGCCACACCAATTTTTTGAAAACATAAAGGGAGACAGCAAGAGGTCTAGTCATTGCATTCTTCTAACTTACTGTTCAGGTATGTGATAACATTAAAATTAGGGACTGCATTGACATAGACAAATTTCTAAGTGTGAAGCCTAGAAATCACATCACATGCGGAGCGCCTAACACCACTGTACACTGAGCCCGGTTGCAGCTCCACATGAGAAATCATGCCGCAGTAATGAGGGCTATCCAACATGAAATGAGTTACTTCCAAGGGCGCTGAGAGCCCCAGAACTGGAAGAGTATTATATGAGGTGCTTGTTTTTTTTTCCTTCAGAGATTTAAGTTTCTTCTGGATTACAGTTTGCACAGGGTCACTGGTTCTTCAACTTTGGAGTTTCAAAAAACATTGTAGAAGAAATGTCTATACATGTACAAAGACACACACCCCATATA